AATAGACAGCGATTCTACAAAAATAGAAAAGCTTAATCTGCAAGCCTAGGTCACAAAACTCTAGGAATTTTGTACAGTTTGGCAAAAAAGAAAAAAAAAAAGAAGGCAGCTTCTATGAGCACCGCCCCCCTCCCCCACCAAGGAGGACAGAGAAAATAGGATTTGACATTATTGCAGGTTTTTGGATTAAACTCCAAGAGAATCAAACCAGGTGTTTGCTTTAAGGAGTGGTATCATTTCTGTCCAGGTTAGGAAACACCAGGTTGGAAAAAGCATCCAGGTTCATCGCCCAGCAGTCTGGCACCCACCCGCTGCCCCCCTGGTCCCAGGTTCAGACGGGCAGGAGCTATGAGTGAGAGCTGCCAGCTGCTGTCGAAGTTTCAAGAATCCTGGAGTCTGAAGGTGCTGGGCATGTCCACAGGAGGGGGGTTGGGTGGCCAGCAGGGAACAGGCTGGTTGAGCGCCGCCTTTTGGCACCAGGGTTTCAGACCAGAGACTATTGCCTGCGGTAGCACCAGAAAGGAGGTTGGGGCCATGTCGACAGCCCCGCCTCCTCTTCCCTTCTTCCTGCCCCTCCTTCCCCTCCCTCCCTCTCTACTTGCTCCCACTGGGCCGGCAGCAGCAGGCAGCATGAACACCTTGTGGGTACTCACTCATCAGCCCCAGGGGCCAGTTCCCCGCTCAGCAGCCTGGCTTCTCCACCTACCAATTCCACTGGACACCTGGCCCTGGTCCCCTCGACTTGGGAGACAGCAGCCCGCTGTTGACATAGCTTAATCCATCGCCTGTCCCGATGGGCTGTCCCCGCAGCGCGGGTCAGTGACTCCCGCAACTTGGGAGGCTGAAGCCAGACTGCTGAGGTGGCCCTGCGGAAGCCTGGGACAGGCAAACCCAGCAGCACCCGCCCCTCCCCCGTCCCCCTCCCCCCAGCCTAGGGGTGGGATCTCGGCAGCTGAAGCTGCCTCTCCCAGCCTCACTCGGCCCCATTAACCAAAACAGCTTCATTATGCCCATTTCCAGCTTTCAGTGCGAGGCTGATAGCTGTCAGCAGAAATAAGAGTTAATCTGGAATTACATTCAGAGCTGCCTGGCTCAGAGGAAGCAGCGATAACGCTTTGAGAGAAGCCCGAGCGGATCCTGCGGCCCAGCCTTCCGCCTCCAGAGGGGTGGGCTTCTCCCCTCCTCCCCTGCCCGGGAGGTCAGGCCAGAAGGCTGCAGCGCTCCAGGGAGAGGCATTTGGGTTCTCTTTGCCTCAGACATGAACACATACACATATACTCACATATACACATACATCCACTCATATACATTCACTCATATATATACACGCATACACATCACTCAGATATATATACACACTCATACATACACACTCGCACACATCCACTCACTCATATACACACACACTCACAATACACTTATACACATTCACGCATACACACACACTCATACACATCCATTCACACACACTCATACACACACATTCACAACACATCCACTCACTCATATACACACACACTCACAATACACTTATACACACTCACACATACACACACACTCATACACATCCACTCACACTCATACACACACTCACAACACACTCACACCACTTATACACACACACCCTCACATGCACACTCATACACTTACGCACTCATACACGATCATATACACACTCATATACACTCACGCATACACACACACTCATACATATCCACTCACACCCACTCATACACACACTCACAACACACTCATACCACTTATACACACACACCCTCACATACACACTCATACACAGTCATATACACACTCATGCGCACACACGCACACACAGACATGCAGAGGCAGCTTTGGCCCCTTCCCTCCCCACCGGCCACTCCCCACCTCCAGGACTCTCTCCCCAGTGCCGGCCAGAAATGCCTAACTGTGCCTTGTGCTTTTACTCTGGACCGTGATTAGCTTTATTTTGGAAAATTACTTTATTATATAGATATAGATATATAGATATAGATATGTATGTATGTATATATAAAAAGGTTTCATTTCATTTGTAAAATCTTATATTTTTTTCTTTTTCTCTCCTTTTTTTTTTTCCTACAGAAAATGATGATGAGGTTTAAGGAGAAAATAAGTTACATTACAGTTTCCAAAATGGTCCTCGCTCTCCGCCGAAGATGGGTCGCCGTCAGGGCTGTGATGCACTCGCCGTCCCAGCTTGTGCTTTGCAAGAAGAGGGAGCGTAACTAGACTGGTGGTTTTAGGTTAAAATAGCCGAGGCGGACGCCTTCGCCTCAAAAATATTCTGAGACACATAAAAGTGGAAGGAAACTAGTCTCCTTAGTCACAAAATGCCGTACATCCCGCATATACTAGATTCAATTAATTTAATAAAATAGAATATACATAGATTCTGCACAAACGTATTGCTTTCTCCCAACAGCTCCTGGTGTCGGGAACCTCAGAGACACTGGGCTTCTCTTCCTGCCTGGAGCCAGGGTGGGCAGGGCTGCTGCTCCCCACTCGCTGGGAATCCTGCAGCGGCCAGTGCCCAGTGCCACTGAGGCAGGGAGGGGCGCCTCTTGGGTGTCCACATGGAACTTGTGTCAGGAATATAGCCCAAGAGGAGGAGCGAGGATTTGGCACCCAGTGGAGAAAGGTGAGTGGGAGAGGGGGGGCAGGACTCAGGGGTCCAGGTCTGCCGGGTCAGAGGATAAACCGGAGACGCCCAGCATGTCTTTCTTTGGGGAGGGCGAGGCAGCCATGCTGTCAGGGGGGCCGGAGGCCGAGAGATCCTTGGAGTCGCTGGACGGAGCCCTCCTCCGGAGGCAGATGCCGGGGCTGGCTGGGGGCCGAGCGCCCTGGCCCTGGGGAGGGTCTATAGAGATACTGGGCGGACTGAGTTTTTTCTTGGGCCGGCTCCCAGGCCCCCCGAGAGGTGGCCCTCCGAGGCCTGAGGGGCCGGGGTCCAGGTGGGGTTGGGAGCCACTGTCCAGGCAGCTGACAGCAATGGAGTGCCTCCTCTGCTCCTCCAGCCAGGACGCGGGCCGGTGTCCGCAGCTCTGCGCCTCCACGCTGTAGCACTTCTTCAGGTCCCGCGGGGAAGGGGGCGCCTCCTGGCTGCCCACCTGCAGGAGGTCTCCTGAAACCCAGCTCAGCTCCGTGTCCAGCTCTAAGCTGCTTCTGGCCTCCAGCGGGCTTTTGTCCCAGGTGGGCTCTGGGCCCGGGCAGGGGGCTGGCGAGTGCGTGTGCTTCAAGATCTTGCTCTGGCTGCGGGAGTGCTGCACCGGGGTGCTCGGCTGGCCCCAGAAGGAGGAGGTCCGGGCCAGAGGCGGGGAGGGCCCACTCACCTCTGACAGCAGGTCCTCCCTGCTGCCCAGGCCCTGAACGTCCAGGGAATCGGTCCTTATTGCTGCCTGTATGGGGTGAGGGGAGGGCTCAGCCTGGGGACTTCCTCTCCCCCATTAGCTGTTCCTCCAGGCAAGCCAGCGAGCCCTCTCCTCCCCGACCAGGAAGCTGCAGGACCACCCTAACAGAGGGTCCGGTATTGGCTCTTGTGGAGAGATACGGGCCATGCGCATCGGGCCCTCTGGCCACTGCCCTCCTTGGTGTCTCCCCCAAGCCTGCAATTCCCAGCCCCCAGGACACAGGAGGCACCGGGCCAGCTCTGCTCCACAGCCGGCTCCCTCATGCCTCCCTGCCTCTTTGGCCTTAAGCCCTCAACTTTATGGGCTCCGGCCCTCTGTGATGTACAGACCGACAGTCTCGACCCTCCAATAAGACGGACCCCTTCCTCGTCTTTGCTCCCTGCTGCACTGGGCCCATGAGCATCTCAGCCCGTGACCTGTCACCGCAAAGATCTGGTGGGGTGTATGTCTACAATCACACCCTGAGCTCTGGGGGGCAGGGGCTGTCTCATTTGTCCGTCTCCCCGGGGCCTGGCACACAGGGACTGCTCAGTGACTATTTACAGGATGGATGGGGACTGTACCTGTTCCCCCAATGGGTGGGATTGAGCAGATTCTCACATGGCCGTGCTCAGGCATAAGGACACACACCGCATGGGCTGTGGGCTTGTTGCTGGTGAACACACAAGCCTCGCCTGGCTACATGAGCCTCTGCTCTGGGCCCCTGGAGTGTGGGCTCCAGAAGGTGGGCCCCAGGCTTGGCCAAAGATGGAGACACCTAAAATGTGCCTCGTGCCCAGCCGGTGCAGCTCAGTGGTTGAGCGTCGACCTACGAACCAGGAGGTCACAGTTCGATTCCCGGTCAGGGCACATGCCCTGGGTTGTGGGCTCCATCCCCAGTCGGGGGCATGCAGGAGGCAGCCGATCAATGATTCTCTCTCATCATTGATGTTTCTATCTCTCTCTCCTTCTCCCTTCTTCTCTGAAATCAATAAAAATATATATATTTTTAAAATGTGCCTTGTGCCCCTTAGCTAGGTCGAGAAATACAGAGAACAGGGAGGCAGCTGTGGGTCGGGAAAAGGGAGTCAGAAGCCTGGCTCATCTCCAACTTGCCCTGCGTCCCTGGGCAACCTTGGCCTCCTCTGGGCTCCAGGCTTGGGGGGCAAAGTCCGAGCGGGCACAGACCACCGCTGCTTGGTCTGGCTTTGTGTCCTGGCGCCTGGCCTGGCCTGTCACTGCCGCAGAGTCAGTGTTTGCTGGGAGAATGGAAGCGGCAACCCTGGTCATCACCAACAACCCGGGACTCCGGGCCCAGGCCCGCCTCCACAGCAGCTTACCTGGCGCCTAAGAGGCCTCTGAGCCAAAGGGGAGCGGCCGGGCGGGGGCAGTTTGGGGATGGTGCCCCACGTGGGGGCGCCGTGGGGCTGGAGCAGATGGGGAGCATCTTTGGGAAGCTGCAGGATGTAGCTGGTGTCTGCTGGCTGGGAGTGAACGGACAAGACAGAGCCTGCGGGATGAGGGGGACGGGGGAAGGAGGAAAGAGAAGTCTGGCTCCCACCTGAGTCCCCTCCCTTCCTCTCTCCGCGCCCCCATCAGGGCCTCCCCCCTTACCACAGAACCCTCACCCTGTTCGAAAGCCACCTCCCTCAGGCAGGGGCTGGGGGCTCCTCAGAAGTAGGAGAGCCCTCTTTGGCTGCCTCAGTTTCCCCCCAGGTTAGGACGGAGCCTCGTCAAGGACGAGGTCCCCAGTGTGAGCCACGCTGGCTTGCCCCGGGCCCTGGTACCTGACTGAGCTTTGGGGAGCCCCCAGCTCCCGTGTCCCAGGGACCCCTCGGCCGTGCTTCCATCGCGGCACATGTAGCTGTCGTTGGGCAGAGAGTGCGTGCGGCTGACCCCGGACTTCCGCACGCTCAGCAGGTCTGGCACCTCCCCCGGGTGGGGCCTCCTCTGCAAAAGAAACAGGGGAGGTGGGCGGAAGAGGGGGCATCCAGATTGGGTAACTGAGGCAGAGATGGACAGCACAGGCCAAAAGCTCCCTGCCACCGCCCAAGGCCCCGGCCCCCACCCCCTTCTCGGACAAGGTGGTGATGGGATGAGTGTCAGGCAGAAGGGCAGACACATGGAGGAGCCCTCCACACACAGGGAGGAAGGAGGCGGGAGGAGGCCCTGGCCCCAAAAATCATCCACACTGTAGCCCTGGGAGCCTG